GGGTGTTAGAAAGTTACCCAATATATAAGTTTCAGTTGTGAGAAGTAGGCAGCACAGCATAATGAATTACAAAAGAGAGCAAATGACAAAACATCAACTCAGGTATCAATCAAATTGTCCCGGATCTCCACCCAATCAATGAGTATCATGAGGAATGCCAGCCGGCCGTCCATCTCCGGCATCTCCACACTTTCTCGGCTGTTCTCGTGGGTCACTGACATGACCACATGCCCGAAGAAATACCGGCTGATAGTGTATGCATTTGGACGGAAGGGCACTACCTCGGCGTGGCTGCAACATTTAGTCAGTAAAAACGGATAGGATGAACCGTGGGATTTGCTCACGCGGTTGAAAATGCAAACACCATCAACTCTCCCCTCAGCCAGGGATATGGTCCAGAGCGGGGATGCTATTGTGTATCAGCCAAGGGAGGTTGTCTCGGCCGGCCGATGACTTACCATATCCAGGGCCATGCTGAGTGAACAGTACTTTTGGTGGTGGATGATGTGCAAGAGGCACTGTCCACCACTAATGCGCCACAGTGACACACAACCCTGGGAAGATCCCCGTGTCGGCAAACACTCGGCACGTGTGCTGTGACACTTAACCTTATGCGGAGCCGCCGGCAGTGCCTCAGCACGTGCGAGCCACACCGGGCATGTGATGGGTGTGTGTGGCTTGTTGAAGATAACGATCATATCATTTGCTCTTAACCTTCATTGCCGAAGCGCACCGAGCACCACAACACCCCGCTACCTTTCAATCACTGCTGCACTATGCGTTCCACCCTCGGCCCTCTTCTCAACAGTACCGCAAAGGACCTTCTCGGCAAGTTCGCCCGGCAGGAGTTGCGCCCGACGGAGAATGGAGAATTACCATACATAGCAATGATCCATTATACGGTGCGGTCAATCCATACTTACGTGTCTGCACCATAGTAACCACTGATGCACTAGTCGCTGGCGGCCATGATGCTCGGCTTCGAGCGGCTGATGAAGCCCGATGTGGCCGAGGAACTGGGTCTCGGGGAAGTGATGGACAAGTACTGCACGATCATGCTGCCGGAGGGTAAGACCCAGGAGGAGGTCCTGGTGGACATGATCCTCGGCTTCCGAGCGGCGGATGTCGCTCAACCGCCGCAGCCGGAGACATCCTCGCTGCACGCCGAGCACTCTGGTGAACCAGGTAACTGACCAATTCTCTCCGGCCTTTCCGGATATTCATGCCACGACAGAGGGGCAGGTCGGTGCCTGGATGGAAGATCGCCTCAAGTCCGGGATCAAATCGAAGATGCGCTGGATGACATCACGACCGAGCAGGCCAAAATCCAAGAGATGGTCGCCGAGCAATTGAAGGCCGCCCAACAGCAACTCCAGCATCTTGATGGCCGGCTGCATGTGGAGAAGCTCCGGGTAGGTTTTACACAGCACATTCACATTACATGGGACTTATACAATAAAAACTAGGACGAAGTGAGAGCTCACACCGACCGCATCCACCTCCCTGTGCTCCCAAAAATACCCGAGCCAGGTGTGATCTCACCGGAGAACATGCCCCCAAACGTGCCAGTCCAAGCCCTGAATTGGTTGGACAGTCTCGGCGAATCGATGGCCGGCATGGATCTATACATCCAGGCAGAGGTGGATTACTGGCGGGCGGTGGACCGAGTGAAGGCGGCCGAGTTAGCGGTCTTGCAGCCAGGAGAAGCGCCGAGTGCCGCGGCGGGCTCTTCGCCACCCCGTCCTGTCTCAGAGTCGCATGATGGATAGTCGGGATGTCCCATTAGTGTACAGTCGTGTTGGCACCGGTATTTACATCTCGTGATATGACAGGGAAGGCTTTGATGTTCTTATGTGCACCGGCCGGCGAATCAAACACCGGCAGAACGATTGGGCAGCAAGGCAGCTGGCTAGGCCAGACTGTCTGCTATACCTGTACAGTTATGGTGAAGATGAAACCGCCGAGCACATCAACAGTTCCATATATATTGTAAACACAGTGTAAGGTTATACAGCTACTCCGAGTCCATCCGCCAATCCGCCGGGGGAGCGTTTGTCCATGCATGTACCGCCTCACGCATATAGTAAGATAAGCACAAGCGCTCCTGGGTCGATTGCCGTACGGCATGAGGTATGCGACAGCCAGAAAATACCTCCATAGTGCCACTGTAGTATGGCATCTTCATTCCCAAAGTAGGATACTCCATATGCAAGGTCTTGTCTCCGCCGAGCGTGAGAATCATATCGTACCAGTGCTTCGCCGAGAGTACGTCTCGGTGAAGTGGACTGGCCCGGTTGGCAATCACCGATAAGGCGTTGAATGGCGTGTTCCATATCTCGGCGACGCTAGCGCGGTCCGGGTCGTTGCGCAGTGCATTGATCGACGCCACGCCACTTGCATAGAGGTCCGGATGGAGTATCTCGAGCATCGCCGAGAGGATGATATGGGGGTGCTCCATCGCCGAGAGCCACGGTCGGGCGAGCGAGGTCGGTTCCCTCAGCAGCCGCGATACCTGGGGTGGACCTGTAGTACCCTGTTGCGGATTAATACAACATATGATGATCAGTACGCCACGGATGCGCACCGTATGACCCTGCTGAAACCAGCCGGGCGAGGCAGATAAGCATGACGGCGGGAAGATTGGACATTCATCCGCATTGCGGTAGTTGTTGATATCTTGTCTCCACTTCTCGGTGGTGGTGGGGGGTACTGGAGGAACAGCGGTTCCAGTTGAGCTGCGGTGTCCCATATGAACTGCTGCTTGATTGTTAACAACGGGTGTGATGTCTGCCTGGCGATCTCGCATACCTGGTAGTACGGTGTGATTACGCCGGGGAGATGCCACAAAAGAATCCGGCCGGCGCTATCCTCGATGGTCGCAGGCTCCTTGCACGCCTCGTACTGTACGTTCTCGGCTTCTTCATCGCTCGGTGTTGTCATCGGATAAGTCAATGCGTCCCATTCAACGCTCCCTCCAAGTGGAGTGTTAGCCAAGCTTACATGGCGGTCAATGGAAGCTCACTTCGGTTACAATAAGCCTGAGCCTAACATCTTGCCAGCATTCGTCGCCTGGCGTATCATATACACATCTAGGAAGAGACCTGGAAGTGGCTCGGGCTTCATCGCTGGCCCTCCTGCATGCGAGACAGCCAGTGTAAATATGTCCCCTTCAGGTAGGAACGAAATTGGGTGCTGATCTGTGCGGTAGTCATGTTGGAGAGTGGGGGGGGGGATTGGAGAAGAGTTGTGCGACAAGTTTGCACGATGTGGAGGACCTGATGGGCAACATGTGGTGACCATGTGTTTGCCTCATGTTTGTAGGCATGTGATGTTGTCAGTGCTCAAGTGACCCCGGCTAGGTGCTGGTTCATGCATGCGCCATCTAATGTGATGTCACGTTGTCTGGATGAGTGCCCTTGACAATTCTGGTGCCGATTTGGCCTGCAGGATCATTGATATGAGCCCGGCCGGACCGTAGGAAGCCTAATTTTTTCGAGGCCTCCGGCCGGGACGTTGACGTGGTTGCCGGCCGGAACGCTGGGTCTGTGTCCGGCCGGACCGTAGGAAGCCTATTTTTTTCGAGGCCTCCGGCCGGGTCGTTCGCCTGAGGTCCGGCCGGAACGTTGCACCACAGGCCGGCCGGACCATTCCTAACCACCACCCTCCCTCCGGCCGGTTCATTGCTGCCGGCGGCCGCTCCGAACGGTGGACCCGGAGTGCTCCGGCCGAGCCCGGGTCCACCGTTCCAAACGGGCCAAATGCACTCCGGGTGGACCGTTCGAAACGTGATTTCCCACTCATTAGGCTCGCGGTGAGGCCACAATGGGAGGGCCGCGTGGGGTATACCAAGGATTCTTGAAGATTCTCGGGTCATCCCGAGCAATCCGGGCGACGCGCCCATGATGGTCAGGGTATGGCGGTAGAGCCGCGAGTTCTTCCATCGCGGAGATCACCAACGGTGGCACGTACACCGGCCACTCGTTTGCAGCCGCGGATGCCACAGCCTTGGCGGCATCGCTCTGGCAAACCATTTAGTTTATGCGGCAAAGACGGATCGAACGGATGTACGCACGCCCCATTTCTTGACCTTGTTCCACTGGTCCGTATACGCAGGTTAATTATGTCTGTTGCATCGAAATCCAGACACTTACAATCTTGTGCATTATCTTCGCATCCTGTGCTTCCGGCATCTTCTCCGCATTGACGAAACCTTCCAATTTCTCCTCGCACTGGGCCAACAGTGACGTGACTTGCTCCGCGGTCACTACCTTAGGGCCGTCTTCGTCCAGACCGGGTTGGTTTGTCGAGGCCATTGAAAAAACAAAGCCGAGTGATAAGCGAAGCAGGCGGATTCCAGGCAGCGACGAGGTGGACGATGGTGACGGAACTCAGTAGAGATGATTGAGCGCCAGCGACAAACTGTGGGAACGCAGCCACAGACACGTGGCCTGTGTGGCTGAGCCGCGCCGCGGGACCTCCAATCGATCTCACTGATGAGATCTGAACCAACCTCTTGCTCCCTGCAACCATGTCAAAATCAGACGTTGCACTTATGAAGCGTAAAGATGGTAAGTGTGCCTGTTATACTCGTATTTGGAAACATTAGTAACAGCGCCACACTCAGGATCACCTGCTACACCCGGGCCAGCCGGTATTTCGTCCGGAAAGCCGAATCCAGATGAGACGCGGACGCAGGAGCTGCGTGACTTGCTTGGTTCATTGTCGGTGTGTAGATAATCGTTGTTTGACATAGGACAGTGCGCTCACCCAGTGACGCCGCGCAGGATGCCAGTGATGTCGAGGATGACCTAGGTATGTCGGGTTGCAATGGCTTGTAGCCTGGATGCCATATTGACTTGGTTGTACTGTTTCAGCGCCACTGATCATTCCACCGAGACCCGGTACACTACCGCCAACCGAAGCGGATGCCATGGTGAGCACAGTCATTGGGAAACCCGGAATAGAATTGACTCGGGTGCAGGATACAACTCCGGACGATGGGCCGTCATCAGGCGGTGTAGACAATGGGGCCGGTGCAGATGCCATGGTCGTGTCCGAAGGGGAATCCAAACAGGCGTCACCGCCCCGTCGTCGGTTTGTCATGCCCATCCCGCTCCCGCGGCGACGGCCACCGGGCGCTCCTGTAGTTATTT